CGTAATGTTGGTGCATCTTCCGGAGGCTGTATCTTTCTCCCCACTGGTCCGAATTGGATGATTCCAACTGTTCTGGGATCTTTGCTTGATTATCTCCAACTTTGCTGAAGACCCCGCCAACTGGTTTGGACCGGAAGGTTCCCCGGATTGCAGATCTTTGAAATGCGCGGACAAGGACAAATTTTGGTCGAGAAAAGCTTCCCGCGGTAAGGAAAATGACCGAGGGCTGTGTACCGCGGTAAGCTTTTTGGTCGTAAAAATTCCCTTGCCTCGGCCAAAAACTCAACCCGTGGTATTTTGCACCCGATCTTCGACCCAGGCTGATTTTGGTCGATCGGTAAGGACTTTGGCCGGTAATGGTCGATCGGTAAGGATTTTGGCCGGTAATGAGCGATCGGTAAGGATTTTGACCGAGGTTTCTGTCCGTCCGGTACGCGATTTGGCCGAGAAATTCCTCCAAGCGGTTTTCACCATTTTTGACCCTTTTCTTCACCGTCTTCTTCTCTGCTCCTCTTCTTAAGCTCCAAATGATTCCCAAAGCACCTGATAAAGACTTCAAAACATGCAAAACTCTTTGGGACCTAATGCAAGCCCTAAATCCTATTTTCATGCCTAAAGACTCAATTTACATGGGAAAACACATGATGAGGACTCTAAAATGCACTTCAAATGATGTAAAATATAGACATATCAATCTGGCCCTGAATGAAAACTTTCGCAACACCCAAGACCTAGATCAGATTGTAGTTCATGACGCTACTCCCATGCATTATAAATACGTTTAGAAGAAAAAGTTCTAGGATTCGGCTTCAATAGCTAATGGAATCCTCATCGAACATATATAACCCCCATCAAAAATCCCTTAAACTCAACAATAAAACTACTCATACATGATGAACGAAAGCAAAAACATTGTATTAAAAAGGTGTATTGAAATCGATATGATAGAAGAACAAAAAGGGTTCAAGAGATAGATCTATATCTCCCTAAAACCTAAAAACCAAGGAAATGAAAGAGAAAACCTTTAAAGCTGCAAAGAGAATTAATTGTATGTGTCTCTGTGTGTGTCTCTCTGTAATTATAGTGTCCAAGTCGTCACTTAGGGTTTCTCCAAATGAGGGAATCATTCTGGACTTGAAAATGGGCTTCGGGGTCGGACAGACCATACTCTGCGGTCGGGCAGACCATTCTCCACGGTCAGAAAGATCGGGACCGTGGTGAAATGGCTGTTGGCCGCGGGTAGGAATGCTTGCCGGATCTTGCTCTTCGCGTAACTGTTGATTGAACTGTTGGATTGCCAAGCTGTAAAGTGTGCTGGAAAGCTGGTAGTTCCATCTTAAAGGTCTCCAAAATTGAGCTGGATCAGACGATTAAAAGTTCTTCATTTGGGGGTAAACTTCTGATTGTTTGACTTTGAGCTGAAATCTGGTCTTCTATCCATTTTGTTAAGCTTTTACCTAAATCTCCTGAAAAGAGTCTTGAAACTACAAATACTAGAAAAACATAATAAAAACACTTGAAAGCAATAAAAAACATAGAAAAAGTATTTCAAAACGATCCATAAAAGTGGTCAAAATACGGTGTTATAACATGTACAGAATGATAAAAGAGAGAATCTTGTAGTTAAGGTTAAGGCACTTCCCGATCTATCTATAAGGCTCAGAAAGGGTCCGGTTGGAGCATTAATTAACTTGTATCCATAGAAAATTTGGCGTGACATCGAGGAGAGTACGTTTGAACTTGACGTGCTCGAGGAATCCTTTCGTTCCTCGGCATCGTCATTGAGCTGCCGAGAGAGATCCTCTTTTAGTTGTGGGTCATAGGTCGGGCTTCGGGTGGGCGATATCACATTGTTCGAAGAACCCTAGATGCTGTTGAAGTGGTTTATACACAGAATTGGTGAATTTGATGCTGATTCAAGCTTTCTAGATGAAAATGAAAACAAAAAGGAAAAGGGTCAAACTACAACTATGGACCTTATTTTGAATTCGATTCTTTTTTAGATCAAATAAACAGAAGAATTGAGGTCTCATTCATCTTATTATAGATAGCTTGATCTCTCTTTTGCCATCTGGTCTAAAAATAGGATTTCTAGGCGGTCATTTTTAGTTTTCGCGCCTTTACATTGATATCCAAATTGTAATATTTGAAGTATAAACATTTTATAAATAAAAATTGTTGCATTTCATAAACCAGAAAAACGATTAGTTGTAATCTTTGACTTGTGCCAAATTTGTTCCATATATGCTCAACTTAATCATCTTTCAATTGTTGATGCATTATACGTTCACAACCTCGATTTCGAATGCCCATCAGATTTCTGAGATTTGAAGGCATATCTGTAGAATACGTGAAATTCACTTGTGAAGTTCTCTTTGCTTCTGCTTGTGTAAATTCGGATACATCAAACTGAGTGTACCCATCTCGTTTGTCTTCTACTATCATATTGTGAAGTATTATACATGCTCGCATAATCTTTCCTATTTTTACCTTATCCCAAATAAGAGCAAGATTTTTGACAATGGCAAAGCGAGCTTGCAAGACTCCAAAAACACGTTTGACATCTTTACGGACAACTTCTTGATATGTAGCAAATAAGGATGCTTTCTGACTTTGTGGAATTGGAATAGATTGGATAAATGTATCCCATTTAGGATAAATTCCATCGGTGAGATAGTAAGCCAAATAATACTCTTGTCCGTTGACAAAGTAATTCACTTTTGGAGCTTTACCTTGTAATATATCATCAAAAACTGGTGAGAGATCAAGAACATTGATATCGTTTAAGGTACCTAGAGGTCAAAAAAATGCATGCCATATCCAAAGATATTGTGAAACTACAGCCTCTAAAACGATCGGTTTTCCAGATTCACGTGTGTATTGCCTTTCCAAGTGGTGGGACAATTCTTCCACTACCAATGCATACAATCGATGCTTCCTATCATCCTGGGAATTCCGCGTATTTCTCCAATATCAAGTATCATTGATGATCTTCTGGTGTGAGTCTTCTTAGGTACTCTTCTCTGAAATAAATATATGATTCCTTCAAAAAAATGTTCCAAGCAAGAAATTGCAGTGCTTTCACCAAGCCGTAGGTTTTCATGAACCACTTCAGCCGCACAATCATATGTCATCATACGAATGGCTGCTGTAGACTTTTGTAGTGCAGAGAGACTGGGTCTTCCGGTAGCATCTCTACTTTTTTGAAAGAATGGAACTTCATTAGAGAGTCGATCAACAATACGCATGAACAAGGGTTTGTTCATTCTAAAACGTCATCAAAATATATAATGAGGTTATGTTGCATCTTCCCGGAAATAGTCGTTCCATAAGCGTATGTGTCCTTGTTCTCGATCTCTATCAATGTAGGCTCTTTTTTTCTTGGTTGCTTTTTGACGATCACCATGATCAACAACAATATTTTCGAATACTGGATCAAAAAATTGGTCAAATCTTTCATCCATAATTTCCTAGAGAATGAATGAGTATACACCATAATAATTTTTTAAAAGGAGAGAAGCGTTGAGTTTTTTTTGTGAGCACAAATGTGTTGTATATATAGAGAATGAATGAGTATACACCACAATAATTATGTGGTCTATATTACAATTCATCAAATCGATTACAAATAATGAAAAGTCAAAATTATGTGTGGTGTCGACATATAAATACAAAACAATATGTGTGGTGTTGGCCTACAAAAAACAAAGGCAAAACAAAAATGCATGGAATAACAAAAGCCAAAAAACATCGGTAAAAAAAAGTTGGTCCAAAAAAAAACGTTGGCCAAAAACTCAGATCCTCAGCAAAAATTCTAAAAATGTCGGCAAAAAAAAAAATTCCTCGGCCAAAAACCAAAACATCGGCCAAAAATCAAATCCTCGGCCAAAAACAAAACATTGGCCAAAATACATCAAAAACCTCGGCCAATACACAAATAACTTCGACTAAAAATCGAAAACGTCGACCAAAACTCAAGAAACTCGGCCAAAACTCAAAAAACTTCCACAAAAAATGAAATTCTCGACCAAAACTCAAAAACATCAGCCAAAAATTGTTTTCTAGACCAAAACTCAAAAACTTCAACCAAAACTCAAAAAACAATGACCAAAAACTTCAAAACTCCAAAAACATCAACCAAAACTCAAAAAAGCATCGATCTAACCTTAAAAAACATCGATCTAAAAAAAATAAAAAATCTTAGTGCACGTTTGTGCTCTCCATCCTTGGTGCCCTGCATCCTTGATTCCATTGTGCCCTGCATCAAACCCAGATAGCATCAGAAGAAGAACCATATCCAGATAAGTCAAAAACGAATCCTACAAATACAAAACCCACAAAATATTCAAAACCAATAACAAACATTGAATAAGAACTATTGCTAAATTTTTTCTTATGATAAAAAGAAAGAATTTTACGACAATACATGGGTTTAGGGAAAAACAAACATTCTTACAACTATATGTGACAAGTTCAAACACACCTAAAACACCTAAAACATAAACTCAATCATACAAAGGCAACACAAACGATTTAGGCATTTGACAACATGCCAGTTATTAGCTTGTTCTTTAAAGTCATTTATATTTCACTAAGTGGCTCTGTTTTTGCAAGTAGAGTCTCCAACACCTTTTGCTTACTTAGCTTCTCCTTCAAAGCCAAGTCTTTCTGTCTTATCTCCCACATACTCTGAAACTCCAATAGCGACTTCCCAGCTCTTTCTGCAGTGGCTGCATTGCTCACACTCCTAAACCTTTGGCCTTTGATGCCTTAACACCAGGAGGATGCAGGATTGCTTCATCCACTCCATTGCTAAGTTGGTGTGAGCTTGAAGACTGTGTAGATCCCTCGTCTGTCCTTCTTTTTGAAATTTGATTTCCTTCTTTAAAACACTATTTCTGATCATGTTGAAGCTCTCTCCAAGCAAGTTCCAGAGTGAACTTCGACTTGTGCTCATTGAGGTATATATCATTCGCCAGTTTCATGACATCATTCTCATTTTTTCCACTCGATTTCTGAGATGATGCAGCCTCATAGCATCCCACAAACTTGCAGACTACATCGTTTATCTTTCCCCACCTTTGCTTGCAGTGACTTGGCTCTCTCTTTTCTTGACCCGCGAGCTTCAATTTGGACTTAAGGCAAAGTAATGAGCAATCCGTTTTCAGAATATATCAGCTTTTTGCTCATTCCCAACTATAGGATCTTTGCTTGTGTTGAGCCACACATTGATGAGCACAACATCCTATGTTGAAGTTCATTTCCTTCTTGGTCTATGGTCTTTGGCTATGCATTTATCTTGTCTTGGATCATCGCACCATTGGGTACCAAACACACGAGCTTTTGATTCACCAAGTTCAATACTTGGTGAAACACTCTCGTAAGGATTGGTTTCAAGACTCTGGTATTTTGTTGACTGTTTAAGAGGTTCATGAACCCCGAAGAGTCAGTATATGGATTCGTAGAATCCATATCTGTCTAAGGTGAGTTATAAAGGAGAAGGAAAGAGAATAGTAAATGGGTTTGGGTTGTGATTAGCAATCAATGGGTGTTTAAAGGAGAAGGAAAGAGAGGACAAAAGGGGTTCTGGTTATGTTAAGCATTTGGTGGGTCTTTAAGTTATTATTGTTAGTAGTGAACGTCAAAATTAGACCAGCTTGTGTTTGACAAGCTTGCGTTTGTGTCATTAGCAGTCAATGTTAAAGTAAAGAGTTCACCTAACCTAAAACTACCAAGCATTGATCACAAACCATTGATTAACATTAACCATTGATTCACTTTCTAACTCAAACCTACTACAAAGCATTGAATCACTATCTATTTCAAACCATCAATACCATCAATCACACCCCCACAAAGCAAAATACAAAAAGGTAAAGATAAGCTACAATGGCGGATAAATCGTAAATTCCAAAACAAAAGAAAAAGATTTAGAGAAGAATATATTTACCATGTGAGGGTATTTGTCCTAACCAACAACCCTAGTGTCGAGCTTGATTTTGATCAACTGCATGAAGAGTCCCCCTTCTCGCTGAATTAACAACATCACACAGAGAAGAAACAATTAAGCGATCAATTTAACAACATCACACATAGAATATATATCTATTCCATCATGGGAAACCCTAACTAATCAGCACAAACAAATTTGAAGAGTTTCCACAAACTAATCGATTCATCAAGCTGAATTAACCAATTCATCTACAAAATTTTAAGAGATTCCAGAAACTTACAGTGAGAGAGATTTTTAATGGATTGAGCTGATCTTCCACAAACTTCACACCATGTCTCCATTCGAATCCATATGCAGGAAAAAAAGAAGGCATATCGAAATCATCTGTGATATCAATTTCTCCGTAGAATGAGAGAGAAAAAAATGGTGTCGGGTATAATGTGGTTTGAGAAATTTTTTTTTGGAAGAGAGATCGATGTTTGAGGAAAAAAAAATTAATCACCCCACCAACCAGATGCTAACACGTATGGGGTTCTAAGAGCATGTACATCAGAGGATCAAGAGAGGTTCATGGCACAGTTTTTGAGACAAAAGAGCTTAATACTGAAGAGACGGTATCATCCCGAAATGAAGCATCCTGATTGGTCGAAAATTATAATTTTCGAATTAAAAAAAGAAGAAAAACTAAAATAAAAAAAAAATATTATTATATTCTGGTGAACCCCTCCCTTAAGGGTTCACTGATGTACATGCTCTAAGGGGTTCTAAAGGTTCTTACACAAGAACTGGTTCTTGAGATAAATAACATTAAATCTTTAATTTTTCATTTGAAATGGGTTACGAATCCCTCCTAAACCTGTTGTTGGAGATGCTCTTATAATTAACTAAAACATGTACAGAAAAAATATTGCATGTACATGTAGAAATAGAAGAAATTAATAAGAATGGTCCAAAATAAAAAGTTAATGTGAAGAGTAATAACCTTATCAGAAATATTGAAAGAATAGTTAATTCCTTGTGTTTTCTTTCACTCGATTTTTTGTGTGCATAAATGAGTTTTTTTAATAAAACATTATACGATGATTTGAAAGTTATAAAGTCCTTGTCAAATGTAAACATAAATTATTTTTCTTGTTTTTAGAGGTTAATGTTTTGATAATCTAGCATATGTTTAGTAGATTCTGGAAAATATTTGACAGACATGTTAAATAAAAACAAAACTAAAACTAAAATAAAAAATATTGACGACGCGAATAGTGAACTGTCACGGCCATTTTATCCCATGTTCAAATATCGCTAAGCGCTAGTCGGGCGGTCGTGTTACGCCTATCGCCTAGCAAAAAAATTGGAGATTAATCAGGGATTAATTAGATAAGTTTTTGTTTGTTTTCATTGTTTTAAACTCATATATATTAAATATGTCAAATTATATTAAAAATGCAGCTTATTCTACTGCTCAGTGATATGTTAGTTTGACTTAAAAGTCTCATGATTAATCTGCCTAAAGAGTAGTTTTTTTTTCATGTATTTTTTGAATTAGCAAGAAAAAAAAGATTTATCCTTATTTTCTTGGTCATCATATCGACCTCTGCAACCCTAAATCACACTGCCAGCTCAATGTTTTGCGTTTTTTCTTAGTTATAGTTACTTACTCTTGATTGTTTTACCAAATTATGATAGATTTATAAAAAAAATGAGATTTAAAACTTAAAACGCAATAGTAATTACCCATTTCTCTGATTCCTCGGTCCAGACTGGTTTTAATCGCTCCACCATCTAGCATTGCTAATCAGAGTGAAGTCGCCGTGGCTCTCTTCTGCCCACCGCCTAAGCACCCGATTAATCGACAACTCGGCTGATTTTTCGAACACAGATTTTATCTATCATCTTTCATTTCATTTTTAGAATTTCATTTTTAAAATTGCATGTGACGCCCATATCCAAGAGCAAACTCTTACAACTTAAAAACACAACTTTGATACTTACAGTTTATGCGTTAGATGCAAGATTAATAGAGTTAATAGCATTTTGATAATATTTCATGTTTTTCATTTTAAATTTTTAATCCTAGCTATTCATACTTGACGCCGTAACAATAATTACATTTTCCCGACTTTGGAACGTAGTTTTCTTCTCTTGATGGTGATAGAACTTTGGCTGAACCAAATTTCATCAAAAATTTAAAACCATTTAGTGGACATATTAAAAAATTATAAACTTTTTTCCACCGAGAAGTAAAGTAACAATCATATTTGTAATCCGTAGAACTAAGCTTATTATTATTACTAGCTAGCCCGAATCGTGTGCGGGTTACAAACGTTTAGTAAGTAAGACGTTAAAAATTGAACAATAGTTTAATATGTTATGTTATTTATATATTTTTGTAATTAATTTATACTAAATAAATTTTTTATTGGAACTATCATTGAAACAACGAGAATCTAAAATCGATATATGTTCATAATATGTGCGATTTATTTATTAATGCAATCTTTTACCAAAATAAAATTTAAATTAAAGTCAATTATCACTACTTAAAATATTCATCAATGTTTTTTGATGTCTAAATTCTTAATTATTTTTTTATATGAAAATTAAATCCATAATTTCATCCCTAATTACTTCTTATACAATTGCAAAAGAATTTTATGAGTTCTCCATGACTCATTTACTATGTGAATCAAGTAATGAATAAGTTTTCTTACAATTATAAAATTTGTATACGTAAGCAAGCATGACCTTAATATCAAAACACAAATTGTAGTTGCACTTCAAAACAGAAAAATTTTTAAATTCAAATGTATGTTAAACATGTTCATTTCAAAAATTAGGACAAGATACCGCAGAAAAAAGACACAAACAGGTTATTCAGGTATTAGAAAAATTATTCAGTTATGCGGTAACTCTGAAAACATATAATTATCAGTGAGAGAAAACCGCTCTTGGTCCAACAACCAAACTTTCTCTAAGGTTTTTTGTTGGCTTTAATTTTTTTTGTAATCACTCTAGCCTCGAGAACATAATTAGCCAGTGGAGTTAGTATCAATCGCGTGCCATTGCATGTTTGGGATGTCTATTAGGTACTTTGGAAATCACTTGTAGTGGAAATGGTGAAACCAGGTGAAGAAATGGTGAAAGAAGGAGCAAAAATGATGAAAATAAGGTTTAGAGGCTTATCGGCATTTTTCCTTAACAGGGGAAAGTTTTTACCAGCTAAAAGTCATTCCCAAGAAGCTTTTCTCGGCCAAAGTCGTTTACCGGATCGAGCTCTATCGGCTAAAACTCCATGCTGCGGGAAATATGTTATCTCGGCTACATCTTGTACCGCGGTACAAGGCTAAAACGTATACCGCAATACATGTTTCTTGGCCAAAAATATCATGTACCGATACGCCTCAAAGATCGCGTTACTGAAAAGTCTTTCGTCCGATTCAACTTCCGGGGTCTTCATTGAATATCAAGAGGATTGGGTCACTGTTCCAGGAAAGTTAGAATCAAATGATTTGGAGCAGTGAGCCAACAGAAGACAAACCTGTCTCGCATCCATTCCGAACTGATCCGATATGTCTCAGAGATGACCCAGAACGAAGCCCTCCCCGTCCAATCCAGTCTCCAGTGACTTCATTAAAGATTGGGACATTTGTGTCTAATTTCCAGAAAACTTAAATTCAGGAAATTTGGAGCTGTGAGATGGGAGATCACTCAAACGGAGGAAGCCCAGGTCTAGAAGCCAATCCGGACCAGTGCAATGCGCCTTAAAGATCGGCTTACCGGAAAGCCTTGACGACCTCATATGGAGTTGGGTTCTTCCCAAAAGTTTGAGCTGGTTGAGTCATCTATCCTTTGGACTTATTCTTGAGTCATTTGGATCACTGAGCTGAGAGTTACTGAGAATAGAAGACAAACATATCATTCCGGGTTCAAAAGAGCTTGCTGGGTACTAAGTGTTTTCTTGTGCCTTGGTGTAACCCCTCGGTATATCTTGACACAAAGGCAAATTTGCGAAATGTTTTCTCAAAACCTTGGTATGAACCCTTGGTCACACAACACGGAGGCATGTCTTGTTCAGAATACTAGTCTCAAAATGACTAAGTATAAGGCTGGGAGCATCAATGGGGTTTGATCATGGATTTTCCTAAGTACCACATCTGGCCTCTGCATAACCCCTCGCTATACACTACCCCGAGGACCTCCTGAACATGACCCCTCGGTCTTGTGCGAGCCAAAACTCGCACAACCAAAAATTTGTAAGGAAAAACTAAGGGATCCGAAATTTCTAGGGTAATCGCAAGAACAGTAAGATCAAAAGAAGGTTTTGTTTGCTGTGAAAGTGTTTAGGTCTTATTGCTCTCGAGTTGTGAAAAGTTACAGAATGAGTTGCATACATTGTCTATTTATACTAACTTTCTAAACCGCCTAGCCGAGAATCTCGGGAGAGATTTTCGGAATATTTCCTTATCGCTTCGTGTGGCCACCATCACAATGCCTCGCCTAGGGTTTTTATGGGCTTTCGCCCTTCGAGAATTCGGATCGGCCCATCTGGAAAAACTGGCTCGGCCCAACACAAAGGAAAGCGGCTCGGCCCATGCTTCCTCTTGCGCAGCTCGGCCCACTCTTCGTTCTTCTCACGGCTCGGCCCATCTATCTTTTTCCACGGCTCGGCCCACTCGTCTTGGTGAGCACGGCTCGGCCCACTTTGTTCGTGGGTCGGCTCGGTTCTTATCTGGCGGGCTGCAGTTCCTTCTTGCCTAATTGATTTTCTCCGGTACTTGGTCATTTTCGAGATGGTTTTATCCGATTGGGGTGAAACCGACCGATTTCGAGCAAAAGCGGGGTTTGTTGTTTTCATTTTACTAAACTTCAGGTTTTAAATTTATAACCCCTAAATGTCTGCAAGTGCACAAATGTGCGCTGTAGTACTTAGGGTATCGATCCACAGAGACTTAGTTGTTTTAGTACGAATTCACTGCAACGCTTAAATCAGATTAGAACTAAAATGTTTGGGTTTTGGTTTTGGGTTTTGGTTGTCACTAAATCTAAACTAGAAAGCAAAGAAAACAAAAGCAATTGAAGGAAATTAAAACAAGTAGAAAGTGATTAAACTAAGGCTAATGAAAGCAGGTAATAAGCGAATAAATCAAAGACAAATTGAAAGCAGGAAAAATCGAATAAGAAGCAAAGGTTGTAAGCAATGAAAGAAAAACGTTGGGGCTCAAGGGTATTTCGCAGGGGTTCATGGACTAAGCTATGTCGATTTTAAACAAGTGATAAAGGTAATCAACTACGTATGTTCTAGAACTCGAGGCACGAAAGTATGAATAGCCTACTTTCGCAGCACTAAACAACTATCTCTCGCAACCCTAATCAATAGGTTTCCACTCTGATTCTGGAAGGGAGAAGATGCAATAGCAGAATAAGATTCATCAACATTCACAACTCAACTACAGGTAGGTTTCCACTCCTATAGAAGAATTGCTCGTTTCACCCTAGTTCAGACAATCAATGAAAGCTTTCGCAACATATCATATCAGATCGGCTTCTAAGTGGCCAGCAAAGAATCACACAGTAAGATTAAAGGCAAACGAAGAACATCTAGAAGATTATAAATCCTAAATCTATCGATTCATAAACAAAGACACATGAAATTCCCTTTGAAAAATACCTTTAAACCCAACTGGGTAACTACTCAAACATATTGTAACAAAGCATCATAAACGAAATTGAAAGTGCAGGAAACTAAAGAAAAGAAGGAAGAAGAACGAAGAACGGAATCGCAGATGGAGGCGCGATGATGCTCTCCTCGGCGGCTCCTCCTTCAAAGGCGGCGGCTTCTAGGGTTTGTGAAGCACACGAACTCTCTCTCTCTCTAAGTGTTTGTTTCTATTCGATTCCTCCCTTTAGAATGACCTAAAGGGGTAATTTATAGCTTCTGGGGTGGTCCTGGACACTTAGGGCTTCAAAAATAACAAAAGGAATTGATCTGGGCTTTAATTAAGTCGTCGGGAAAGTGAACGACCAAAGTCCGCGGTCGCGGTGGCTCTACCCGCGGGAAAATGGGTGTTGGCCGCGGTCCCGGCACATGCTCTCTTCCGGAACTGCATTTTCTGTCATTCTTGCATCGGGAGTATCTGAAGATCTAACCGTTGGATTGTCTCCAAACCAAATGCATTAAAAATATGGTTGGATCCTCTATGTTGTCTCAAATTTTGGAGGTGATCAGACGGTGAAAAGGTGTTCATCGCTTGTCATACTTCTGACGGTCTGCATTTATCCAAAATTGCTCATTTGTTCCAAATTGCATATCTTTTGCCCAAGTTTCCTGTAAAGTCTTTTGAAGCTCTAACACATTGAAAATACTTTAAAAACATTGAAAAAAGAGTTAAAACACCTGCATAAGATACAATTATGATCCATAAAAGTGGTCAAAATACGGTGTTATCAACTCCCCACAAACGTAAAAGGCATCCGTAGTTTCTTAGGACACGCAGGATTCTATAGGCGTTTCATAAAAGATTTTTCTCAAATAGCTAGACCTCTTACGTGTTTGCTTTGCAAAGAAACGAACTTCGAGTTCGATGATGAGTGCTTAGCTGCGTTTCATAAGATCAAAGAAGCCCTTGTTTCCGCTCCTGTCGTGCAAGCACCTGAGATGAATCCAAACTAAGTCTCCTTCCTCGAAGATAAGTTCCTTGCGGCCCTTGTTAGCATACTTGGCATATTGTTTTGTCTTGTCCTCTATATTCTTCCTTGCCGCCTCATGGATTCGGTGAACCAACTCTGCTTTCTTTTTTCCATCGTGGGGTTGCGACTTAGCTTTCGCTTGTTTACAAGTTGAACATTTCTCACACATTTTCTCAACATCTCGCCTCATATGTGGCCAATGAAAGTGATCTTGCATGACTTGTAAAGTTTTAGACACATCAAAGTGTCCCATTAATCCTCCACCGTGTGCTTCCCTTAGAAACAAATCTCTCAAAGACGAGTTAGGAACACACAAACGGTTATCATAGAACAAGTATCCTTCATGCCTATAATATTTCCCAAATGCAAATCTCTCACAAGCAGCAAATATTTTTCCAAAATCAGAATCATTCTCATAGAGAGTTTTAATGTGTTCAAAACCAAGTAACTTGGCATCCAAAGATGAAAGTAACACATACCTCCGGGACAATGCGTCGGCCACGACATTGTCCTTACCTTTTTTGTATTTGATGACATAGGGAAATGTCTCAATGAACTCTACCCACCGAGCATGCCTCTTGTTAAGCTTTTGTTGTCCCTTGAGATGTTTTAGAGACTCATGGTCGGTGTGGATCACGAACTCCTTTGGCCAGAGATAGTGTTGCCACGTTTGTAAAGCCCTCACCAAAGCGTAGAGTTCCTTGTCGTAGGTTGGATAGTTAAGTGTCGCTCCTCCTAGCTTTTCACTGAAATAAGCTATAGGCTTCTTGTCCTGCATCAACACAGCACCAATACCAACACCCGATGCATCACATTCGATTTCAAAAGTTTTAACAAAATCAAGTAGGGAAAGGATAGGAGCCTGAGTAAGTTTCTCTTTCAAGGTTTGAAATGCTTCTTCTTGAGCCGTTTCCCACTTAAATCCAACGTCCTTCTTGATAACTTCAGTAAGCGGAGCAGCCAAGGTGCTAAAGTCCTTAACGAATCTTCGGTAAAATCCCGCAAGTCCATGAAAGCTCCTCACTTCTCCTACGGAGGTTGGACTAGGCCATTCTTTAATTGCTTTTACCTTCTCTTCATCCACTTTAACACCATCTGCACTCACAACAAAACCTAGGAAGACCAAGTTATCCGTTCCAAAAGTACACTTGTTCATGTTGGCATAGAGTTTCTCCGTTCTAAGCACATCTAACACCTTACGCAAATGCTGAACATGATCTTCTAAGTTTTTGCTATAAACTAAGATGTCATCAAAGTAAACAACCACAAAATGCCCTATGTATGCTCTAAGAACATGGTTCATTAATCGCATGAATGTACTAGGTGCATTTGTAAGCCCGAATGGCATCACTAACCATTCATACAACCCTTGCTTAGTTTTAAATGCGGTTTTCCACTCATCCCCTTCCTTCATCCTAATCTGATGATACCCGCTTTTTAAGTCAACCTTAGAAAAGATGCAAGACCCATGTAACTCATCTAGCATATCATCTAATCTAGGTATGGGATGGCGATACTTAACCGTTATATTATTGATGGCTCTGCAATCGACGCACATCCTCCAGCTTCCGTCCTTTTTAGGTACTAGTAGTACGGGCACAGCACATGGACTCATGCTTTCACGGACGTGTCCTTTCTTCATGAGTTCCGTGACTTGCTTTTCTAGTTCCTTAGTCTCCACGGGATTAGTTCTATAAGCTGGTTTGTTTGGCAATGAGGCTCCCGGGATAAAATCGATTTGATGTTCTATGCCTCTAATGGGTGGTAATCCCTCCGGATTCTCCTCAGGAAACACATCCCTATATTCCTGTAATACATGTTTAAGAGTGCTAGGGATTTCCTGCTCAGGGTTAGTGATACTCATAAGCGTTTCTTTATAAACAAAAAGTAAGTTCGGTTTATGGAGATCACTTCCCTTTGGGATATTCGGCACAATAGCAAGGTTAGATGGTTTGATAGCTTTCTTTCTACCCATCTTCATGACCAACTGATCCTGGTAAACCTCATGAGGGGTCATAGGTAGCAACACGGTTTTTCTTCCTTTGAACTCAAACTTATGCCGATTCGTGAAACCATCATGCATAACCTGCCTATCCGATTGCCATGGTCTTCCCAACAGTATATGGCTAGCTTCCATTGGCAAAATATCACATAAGACCTCATCCTCATATTTTCCAATTGATAGAGGTACCTTGACTTGATTATCCACAGCCATTTCGCCATTTTCATTCAGCCATTGCAGCTTGTATGGTTTCGGATGCTTGATTACTTGCAACCCAAGTCTCGCAACCATAGTCACGCTAGCAACGTTTGTACAGCTTCCACCGTCAATGATCACGCTGCAAATCTGATCCTTAACCAGACACCTTGTATGGAACAAGTTCTCTCTTTGTTCTTGCTCATCAGATTTCGTGATGACACTCAAAGCTCTCATGGCGACTCCCACCATCATTTGTCCTTTAGTGGCTGATTCATACTCTTCCTCCGATGATTCATCTTCAAGTTGTCTTTCCTTAGGCTTCTCATCTTCAGATTCAACTTCCCCATTTGTCATGATGATCATAACCCTCTTGTTGGAGCATTCACTAGCATAATGTCCAATGCCGTGACACTTAAAGCACTTAATGTCTCTTGTCCTTGGTGCAACGTTAGTACTTTTTCCTTTAAGATCCACACTCTCAACCTTGGGCTTGACAAACGGCTTGTAATCTCTTGAAGTTCCAGACTTCACTTCTCGGTGATAGCTAGATTTTTCCGGAACAAAACTCGACTTGGAGCTTCTCCTTTTAAGTTGTTTTTCGAACATAATTGCCTTGTGCATCATTTCCTCTAGCTCCTCATAATTTTGAACCTCCAATTTGTCAGCAATATCTCGGTTTAATCCTCCCATGAATCTAGACATGGCGGCTTCTGGATCTTCTTGAATATCAGCTCTTATCAACAAAGTTTCCATCTCCTTGAAATACTCTTCAACGGTCCTATTGCCTTGTACCAAGTTTCTCAGCCGATGGTGTAGCTCTCTATGATAGTGACTTGGCACGAATCTTTTCCTCATAAGATGCTTCATCTGATTCCAAGTCTCTACTGGAAAATCTCCTACACGCTTCCTAGTGAGAGTTAGCTGATCCCACCAACTTAGTGCATACCCGGTGAACTCGGTAGGTGCAACTTTGACTTTGTTCTCTTCAGTGTACTCATGACAATTGAAGACGAGTTCCATCTTCTTTTCCCATTCAAGATATTCCTCAGGGTCGTTGCTGCCTTGGAAAGAAGGAATACGAACTTTCACTCCAGCTAGATTATCTCTAGGAATCACTCGCTCATCTCTAGCACTTCTTCTTCGTCGGTGACTACTTGTCTTAGAAGAATGACTGTAGTAGTCGGAGTGATGGCTAGCATCTGCTTGACTTTGCTTATCACGTTCCTTACGTGCTCTTCTCGAATTTTCCTGATCAAGTTTAAAGGCCTCTAACTGCTGAGCCACTAATCTGGCTACCTCGGTTGCGATAGTCTCATTCATTTGCTTTTGGTTGACGCTATTGCTTCCTCTTTCATCTTCTTCCAATGGTGGCGTTACCATCCTGAAAATCAACACAAAAGAACCCCAGTCAAGTGTTCTTTGGAAGAAATCGCAACACAATGGATCAAACAAAGGAATAACTCTTCAACTACCACAAGAACCTACTAGCGACTGTTCAGAGAAATCGACTCGGGAAAAATATCAGAACACATCCAAAAATTCCGATTTCAATTTTAACAGAAACTAGACTCAATCTAGGTTCGAACACAACTGGTTTCACGATTTTTGGATCAGTATTCGATTTTAAACAATTCTAACAACCTGGTGCTCGGAAACAGATAATAACACAGTTTTCTCAAAAACGTTTTGATTGATAATGAAAAGTCACAAACGAAATCTTTTTGATTCAGATCGACACAACCTGCACGAAGCAGCTCTGATACCACCTGATAGACTCTTGATCGTGATGAATGAGTCCTGCCCCTTGATGCTCTTCGTGTGGTTGAATTGGTGATGCGGAAGTGATGATTTGGTTTGGTGAATGATCTGAACGATGGGGGTGAAGTGAAACTTCTAAGGATTGCGGATGTTCCTTAGACTTTCGATGCTTAATTCTTCTAGGATATTACACACCAAGAGAAGAATCAAGTTGAATAGATATTACACACTATTCGGATCAAACAACTAGAGAGAGTTTTAGAAATAAGAAGTTTGATGAAAATAGAATGAAGAGTCAAGTACAGAATATAAAGAGAAGGGGGAAGAAGGAGAAGAGTCATTTCGGTCAAGCATAGAATTTAAGAGACATGCCTCGAAAATTCATGCACATAAAGACCAAGTTTGAATAGAAAGAAGATAGAAATAACACTAAGGAAATTCAAATTGAAACAAGAAGAGAAGAGGGCCGAATGATGACAATGGGCTGAGGTAAGAAGTATGTGGCCAAGCCTCGTTAAAAACCTCTCTTGGAAAACCCATTGGGACAAAACCAAGAGGAGGGAAAAAGAGCACAAGTCCACACACCTCCATTGTCATCGCTTAGACGGCTTGAATCACAACCAATGTGGCTGGACAAGCTTCACTTCTAAGGCTGGCCTGAATGGTAAGTAGATGGTTGTTGATGACTTTATTGAACTCTTTTGCTCTAGACCTTGTCATGGGACCATTGGGGACGATCAATGCTTCATCATCTTCAGCTCCAAGCTCCACGGGTTCAAGCTGCGGTTTAGTTCCATGCTCCAAGCTCTCCATGCTTTCCATGCTCACATCACTTATGCAAGTGTTTTAACTCTGTTTTCAATGTTTTTAAAGTGTTTTCAATGTTTTAGAGTTTCAAAAGACTTTACAGGAAACTTGGGCAAAAGATATGCAATTTGGAACAAATGAGCAATTTTGGATAAATGCAGACCGTCAGAAGTATGACAAGCGATGAAGACCTTCTCACCGTCCGATCACCCCCAAAATCTAATACAACATAGAGGATCCAACCAGCTTTCTAATGCACTTGGTTTGGAGACAATCCAACGGTTAGACCTTCAGATACTCCCGATGCAAGAATGACAGAAAATGCAGTTCCGGAAGAGAGCATGTGCCGGGACCGCGGCCAACACCCATTTTCCCGCGGGTAGAGCCACCGCGACCGCGGACTTTGATCGTTCAATTTCCCGATGACTTAATTAAAGCCCAGATCAATTCCTTTCGTTATTTTTGAAGCCCTAAGTGTCCAGGACCACCCTAGAAGCTATAAATACCCCCTTTAGGTCATTCTAAAGGGAAGAATCGAAGGAGAGACAAACTTAGAGAGAGAGATAGAGATTTTTAGCTTCTAAACCCTAGGAGGCCGCCGCCCTTGGAGGAGGAGCCGCCGCTGGAGGAAGACATCACGCCTATAGAATCCTGCGTGTCCTAAGAAACTACGGATGCCTTTTACGTTTGTGGGGGGTTGTAGGCTTGTCATGACTTTGATTTTTAGCTTAGTCAACTTCAATTCCTTTTCCAGAAATTCTGTGCCCAAGCACGATTCTGTCTTGTACCATGAAGTGACATTTTTCCCAATTTAATACTAAGTGCTTATCTTCACATCTTTGCAGAACTTTACCAAGATTGCCTAGGCATTTTTCAAAGGAAGATCCATAGACAGAGAAATCGTCCATGAACACTTCCATGAAATCCTCAATAAAATCTGTGAAGATCGACATCATGCACCGCTGGAAAGTAGCAGGTGCATTACACAATCCAAAAGGCATACGTCTGTAAGCGAACGTGCCATATGGACAAGTGAATATCGTTTTTTCTTGATCCTCTGGACGAATAGGAATTTGGAAAAATCCGGAGTATCCATCAAGAAAGCAATAGTAGGGATGATTAGCTAATCTTTCTAGCATTTGATCTATGAATGGAAGTGGAAAATGATCTTTCCTAGTTGCTGCATTCAGTTTCCGGTAATCGATGCACATACGATGTCCAGTTACTGTTCTTGTAGCGATCATTTCACCTTTATCATTTTTTAATGACAGTGACTCCTCCTTTCTTTGGAACAACATGAACTGGGCTAACCCAAGTGCAATCTGAGATAGGAAAGATTATTCCAGCTTCTAAAAGCTTCATAATCTCCTTCTTGACAACATCCATGAGATTAGGGTTCAGTCTCCTTTGACTTTCGATTGAGTTTTTAGCATTATCCTCTAGATTAATCTTGTGCATACAAAGATCTGGAGAGATTCCAGGTATGTCATCAAGTGAATATCCTAAGGCTTTTCTATGCTTTCTCAGCTCAGTCAACAGCATTGTGGTTTCTTCTTCCGTCAAACCAGAGTTTATTTTGACAGGATAAGTAGAATTTGGTCCAAGAAAAGCGTACTTATGTCCGACGGGAAGAGGTTTAAGCTCGACTTTAGGGGCTTTAAGATCGCTCCAAGGATCATTAATTGCTGCAGCAGTGTCTTTAGGAGGTGTAGGAATGTTTGTTTGGCCCTTAAGATCTAGATAGTGAAGAGGTTTCCTATAAGTTTCGGATTTATCAAGCATACGTGTGCATTCACTTGAAATTTCTTCAAGGAAATGGCGTTCGTCTTTTGCGGGTGAAAGCGTGACACTTAAAGGGTCGTCTAGGAGCAGATCTTCATAGACTTCCTCAATAATTCCGTCTAACTCATCAACCCAACAAATTTTGCCATCCAAACTCGGTTTATCGAAACTTTTGTTCATGTCAAACTGCATAACTAGGCCGGCTAGATGAAGGTCAATTTTTCCTTCAGGAACATTGATTATGGCTCCGGCTGTAAATATGAATGGTCGTCCAAGAATAAGTGAATCCTTAGGTTCTTTTTCTAGTTCTAGAACTACGAAATCGGTTGGTATGGAACATTTTTTGATTTCTACAGGAACATCTACTAGGATACCTACTGGTTGTCTAACAGAACGATCAGCTAATACTAAGGAGATTTTAGTGGGCTTGAAAGTGTGGTGTCTTAAACGTTTTGCTACTGAAAGAGGCATCATGTTAATGCTAGATCCTAAATCGCAGAGAGCACGCTCAAAGGCTACATCATTGATGGTGCATGAAAGCACAAAGCTTCCCGGATCGTTTTTCTTTTCAGGGATTCGGCTTTGCAGGATAGAACTACATCCATGGGTTATCACCATAACAAATTCTTCAAGAGTTAAAGAATTTGTTAGAATACCCTTCATGTATTTTCTTAAAGCAGGAATCATAGCACAAGCTTCTACGAAAGGTAATCTCACATTTAATTGATCGATTAGCTCTTTCAGCTTAGCTTTTTCTTTCTCTTTCTTAGGGGCTTTTAAGGCTCTAGGATATGGAGGTTTAGGTTTATAGACACGAGTTGGTGGAGGTGGATTCAGGTCTTCTCCAAGGATTTCCCGGGATGAGTCTTCTCTTACTTCTTCTCCATCCTTTTCTCCTACCACTTCTTTTTCAACATCTTCATTCGTGATTCTTTCTCTTGTTTTCTCCTTTTCCTTACCCTTTTCCTCAACTTCGGGATCTTTAGGAAATTCAGGCTCTTTGTAAGCTAATCCACTCCTAAGTGTGATAGCTTTCACATGATCAGAGGGATCTGCTTCACTTCAGCTTTCGAAAGAATTTTCACTTGGCTCCTCTTCATAATTTTCTAAGTTTTTAGAATTAGTTTTGATCATCAGGTTAAGGAGGGTATCGAAATCCTTCTGCATCTCTTTTAGTTCAGATCTAAGATCACTAATCTCTTGAGACATAGATTTTTCAAGCTCTAAATTCTTTTTGTTTAGGTTTTCAGCTTCAGAAGAGGGAAAACTAGGATAGGAAACAGGATTAGATTGAATAGCCGAGATTGGTTCGGAAGGTGGTGTCCAGTCAAACTCAGAAGACGTTTTCCCGCGGTCAGGTGGCTCACGACCGCGGTGAATCATGTCTTGGCCGCGGTCAGAACCAGCACGACCGCGGTGAAAGCTTGGTTGGCCGCGGTCCGATTGAATGGACCTGCGATGATCAGAAACAAATGGAAAATCTTGAATTTGATAGACTTCTGCAGTGTTCACCATCCCTTGACCATAAGAATCCATTGGGTTGTCCCAGCCATCAAAGTTACACGTATTGTGTACCCTATTTGGTTGTTGCAATCCAAGATGACTCATTATGTGACGGAGACACTTTATAACTTCCGAAATTTCTTCTTTCTTCTCAGGAAGTGCAGAATTACCAAAGGTTACTTGATTTCGGATGCTGTTTCCTAAATTTTTAATGAAAACGTGAGCATCTTCTACAGATCTAGTTGTGAAATCTCCATTACTTGCTATATCAAAAGAGTGTCGCAACTCTGGAGTTATACCGCGATAGAAGATACCTAGCAGGTATTCCTCGGCATATCCATGGTGTGGACAATCTCTTTGGTATTCCCTCAATCTTTCCCAAGTATCTAAAAGATCTTCATCTTCTTTTTGTTTAAAAGTTCTTATCTTCTTTCTTAAGAGATTTGAACGATTTCTAATGTAAAAACGATTTAGGAAAGCAGTTCTACACGCTGCCCACGTTTTTAGTGAAGCAGGTGGCAAAGATTTTA